CATTTTTCCAGATAGCAGATCCATTGTGGGAGGGAGAGGGAACCAGCTGATTGGGAAGGCCACGAGCTGATGGGAGGCACTGGGGAAGGGAGAGAAGTTGATGGCAGTGTTCCCTAGAAGCTGAGTGCTTGTGCAGTCACCTAGGAAAGAGTCAAATGTTGCTCCTCTGATTAGCAGAGCACCCAACAGCTGACAGCAGCCAGCAGCTTGTATTTTTATTGATGGTGCACATCCACATATACCTTGGTGCACATACCAAAAGTTATTCTGCACATAGATGGGAAAAATTATAGGGAACACTGATGAGGGGTCTGCCGGTGGTTCTGAGCCCCCACTATAATTTTTCCACAGATGCTCCAGCCCCAGAGCACCCATGGAGTCAGTGCCTATTCATGACTGTTCCTTGCAGTCACGTTGAGGTCATTAATCAACGTTCTTTGAAAATAAAAAATGCCATATTAGTATTAAGAAGTACTGTTAATTGGAAAAAAGGTAGTGGTAGGGGTGGAGAAGAATGGGTTATTCAATGGAAATAAGTCCTTTCAGGAAAACCTTATAGTGTGGGCTAAATAACTACACAGAATTCTTTAAAAAACCTATCATGTATGTCTTGCTTTCTCGGGTAGGAAGACATAGATTATGGGGTATATAAATTACATTTTTCACTTTATTCAGCAAAATGAAGGGCTCAATCAAAAACCAGTATCTGGCCTAGGGATGTTAAATTTCAACTAATCAACTAATTGAGTAGTGGATGGATTTTCCATTGACTACTCAATTAATCGATGGGGGGCACTTCCTATCCCGGCAGTGCCTCTGTCTTTTAAATGCAAGAAGAGTTCCACAGGGACATGAGGGGGAGGTGGTCCTGAATGCTGTGCCTCAGCCTTTTAAGCTGGGGGCCTCTCACTACATTTAAAAGGCAGAGGCGCACCAGCTGGACCTGGTGCAAGTGGGGACTGCTTGAGTCCCCACTTGCACCATTTCTCTCACTGCGCCTCTGCCTCCTGTGCCTACCTCCCCATGGAGATGGTGCTGGGGGAATTGGCGTTTAAGCCAGCTTCCCTCTAGCACCGGCTCCTGCTCCCCCTTGCTGCGGGGGAGGGGCTAGACTACCCAATAAACCTAGGTTTATCGGGTAGTCAACTAGTCACTTACATCCCTAATCTGGCCCACATCTTTTCAAAGCTTCCCTCTTAACAGTTCATGTTACTATAGTCATTTAGCCATTTGAGGAGAAGAAATCAGTGATTGTAAGCTCCTCTGGGCAGAGCCCTTGTTTTTTCAATGTGCCTGTAAACTACCACACATCCCCATGTCACTACAGACAATGAAAATGAATAGCCCTGACTAGCCCCCGTGTTGAATTGGACGTTCTACATAGGCTAGCTCTATAATGGGGCAAAGAGGTAACACAATGTGTATTCGTTTTGCATGACAAGTTTGTGGATGGACTAGATTGTTAATTTGTGGATGAACAAGATCTATGTTTTTTCTCATTTGGAAAGATGAAGTGAATGTTCTTCTTAACACCACTGCCTCCTGACTTGGAGCGATGGCAGCTGCCATTGGGGACTACTATATAAGTGAAAAAACTTAAAAAATAACAATGCTCTTTTAACACTTTAGAGACTAACCAAAAATATATAGAGATGGTATCATGAGCTTTTGTGGGCACAATCCACTTCCTCAGATGAGAAATGTGGAGCAAGAGGCACAGAGGTTCAAATATAAAGCAGAAAAAGAGGGGAAAGGGATGGGGGAAAAAGTGTCAGTTAGAGTGTCTGTGCTAAATGAGACTGGGCTGTAGGAGCCTGATACTTAGCTTTTGATGTCATTTGGGTGTCGAATACACTGGCCCATCCAGTTCAGATCTTTGTTCAGGCCATGGGAGATAGTGTCAAAGTTGCATATGAAGGCCAGTTCCGCAGACTCAGTCTCTAGCTGATTCCTGAAATTATTTTGTAAGCGAATAGTCACCTTTAAATCCATTATGTCTACACTACAAAGTTAATTAGAAATAACAGCCATTATTTTGAATTAACTTTAATAGCGTCTATACATGTAAACGGCTATTTCGAATTTAATTCGAAATAGCGGAGTGCTTAATTCAAATTTGGTAAACCTTCTATGAGGAGTAATGCCAAATTCGAAATAGCTATTTCGAAGTAAATGCTGTGTAGACACTTAATTCGAAATAGGGGGCCGCCAGCCCTTCCCAGGAACCCCTGGTGGCCACTTTGGACACTACCAGGAAAACTTACTCTCCTCTCCTCCAGCCCCGGAGCCATTAAAGGGGTAGACCCTGGCCACAGTGCCTGTGCCAGCTCCAAGCCTGCCAGCCCAGAGCCAGCAGTGGCCACCGTAGCCCCTGACCCAGTGGCCCCAAAACATGAGCCAACAAGCCACTGGCAGCCAGCCCTCCACCACTCCCCAGGAGCCTGACAGGGGCTGGAGAAGGCGGGCACCTTCCTGATCCAGGGTGGAGATCATGGACCTTATTCAGGTTTGGTGGGGATGCCCCCAACTTCCATGATACCCGCACTAGACCAAAGGGCACATGCGAACCCAGGAGCAGGTTTGCATGAAAGTCAGGTTGGTCCGGTGAGACTCCCCAACCCTGAGCTTCCCCTCCCCCTTCTTCCCCTTGCTTCCCCCTTCCAGCTCCCTCCTCCCAGGTTTCCCCCTCCCCTCTCCCACCTCCTTTTCCCAGTCTCCCCAGAGGTTCATCCCCCCTCACCCAGTTTTGTTCAATAAACCCAGTTTCTATTTTTGAACATACGTGTCTTTTATTTCACATCAGGAAGGGGGCTAGGGAGAGGGAAGTGGAAGGATGTGAAGGAGGAATGGGGCACAAGCCCACAGTGGGGAAGACCGGGGAGGCTCTGAGGGCTCCTCGGGATGGACACTTTCCCTCAGAGCCTCCTGGATCCTGACAGCACCCTGATGAACCCCCCGATGAACCCCCCAGATGGCAGCCTGCAGCAAGTGCAGTCGGGCTGATAGTAACGACCCCACGAGATGCACCGGCATGCCCGGGGCAGCTCTGGCTCCATGTGGCCGAGTGCTGTGGTGTCCCAAGTGTGGGCAGTCAGGGCACTTCAAGACAGGACTGCTTTGCTGTCCCTCATCGAGGTAGACAAGCAAGCGGGGAACCCTGAGAACTGTTTGTCTGGGGTGGGGGTAGGGTCCCTTTCAGCATGGAGCTCAGTTAGCCTCCAGCAGCAGCCCCACACGCTAAGTCCTAACCTGATGCCCTGCCAGCACTGGTTCCGGCCAGCCTTAACTTTGGTTCAGGGTCCACTCACTGTGGATGCGCTATTTCGAAATAGCAAAACGCTATTTTGAAATAGTTTTTGTGTATAGATGTTATTTCAAATTAGCTTAATTCGAATTAACTATTTCGAATTAAGTTAATTCAAAATAGCACTTCAGTGTAGACATACCTTTACTGAATGCTCGCTTACTCTTCCTGTCACCCCCTGGAAAGGGTCCAACTCACTGCCATAGCACCTCTAGTGGGTCAGTCTGGGAATTAGCTGGGTCCGAGTGCCCTCTCCTGGTGGTGTCTCACCCACTGTTACCAGCTTCCTGTCAATCTCCACGCTTTTTCAGAACCTACATCCCTCCCGGACCACAACACCCCTCCCTTGGGCCACTGCCCACTGGGCAGTGCATGCATCTGGGTTCCTCCCCTCCAGGAAGCCCGATTACTCTTAAGTCTGCCTTGCCTGCGCGACCTACAGCAATCTTTCAGCTACCCCAGAGGTGGGCAGTAAGCAGCCCGGGGGCCAGATACAATTTACCAGAGTTAGCCCTTGGGGGGCCCATTGGATGCTATATTTACCTGCAGGCATGGTGGCCCTCTGTGTCATAACCCAGGCAAATTGCATCTGGCCTGCAGGCTGCTTACTGCCCTTGCTTGATCTAGCCTCTTCCCTCAGGGGCAAACAGTAAGACTTGGCCACTCTCATCATTGTCAAGGAGGCTTGAACTTGCTACCTGTTCCTCCTCTCAGTTGTCCCTGTGCCTCCCTAGTACCTTCTCAGACCCCTGTATCAGGCCCTTAGCCTGGGGGTTGGCCAGGCCACAGCTCCTCTAGTTCTCCAAGACCTTCCCGAGTACTGCTCTGTCCAAAGTACATCTGGCCTCTAGTAGTCAGCCAGTCCTTCCCTCCGCAAAGCTGGAGTCACTACCTGCCTGTGGTGCTGCAGTCCTTTTTCAGAGGGCCTAACCCAGCCCAGATTGGCTGTCTGCCTCACGCCCTCGCCTGATTGGGTCCCAGGATCAGCCCTTTCCCAGGGCTGTTTTAACCCTTTTCATTCCTATGTTGGGCATTCACCCCATCACACCCCCTTTCAGGGCTGATATGGGCTTGCAGAACTGAAGCCCCTGTTAGGAAAATAAAGCCTGAAAGAATAATGGGATTTAATTAAGAACAGAAAAATGTAGGCTGAATATCAGAAAAAGCTTTCTTATGGAGGGAGCTGCAGCTATTAGATTGTAGAAGAGCCTCCCCGGGGAAAGTGCTGGATGTCCCATCTCTTCAGACACTTAACTCTTGACTGTATCAGATAACAAAATACACTCACAGGCTTTGCTGTAGTTGTTCAAAGGGTCGGTTGCTCTGAAAATGCTGGACTGGGTCTTCGGCTTACAGTCATTACATGCAGAAGGGTAAGTGCATGCAGATAGCAGAGTACTAAGCTGCAGTCTGTAAGTCTTTAGAAGCATTAATCCCAAATAATATGTGAGCTAAACAGATGTCATCTATCTTATTATCAGCCTGCCATGTATTACAGAACACATTGCTCAAATAACCTTTCAAGGAAATTTAAAAAGGAAGGGAATAAACACAAATGAGGAAATGATGCCAACAAATCATAACACTCTTCCAACCACATGCTGTTTACGTACTGGCAAAAAAGGCAACCACAGCAATAATTAATCACATGGCGTTGCAAGCTGTTCAGCCTCATAAGAAGAGTTTCTGTCCCCTATGTGGTTAAAGGTAGAGTAATTTAATGAATCTGGGTCAAGAGCTTTCAATGAATTAAAGTGTGTTTGTGCTACTTCACAAAAAATATGTTCCCTAGCCCCACCTAGTGCTAAAATGGTGAATCTGCCCATCAGTTTTATCAAGTCATAAAAATCCAATGGCTTCCTTTATTTGGGTTTATAAGTCATTAATCATAAAGTGGATGTTGGGACAAAATTCCCTAAACATGCAACAGTGCCTTGCAGAAATGCCCATTTTGGTTTTGCCCTCCATTGTAAAAGTGCTGATGAGAACCACCCTCTCATAGCTAGTCATAATAAGAATGCTAAGCACAGGCAGAACCATCCAGGCCTTAGTGTTTTGATCTGCCCTGCATTGTTTTACTGTATTTATCACGAAAGAAACAACAAGCAGAGGTGTTTATGGTCCCGTCCCTTCAGTGACATGTTCAGTAACGACACTGGTGCTGCAGTACAAAAATTCAGTCTCTCTTCTTTTCTTGTCTGGTCAAGTTTTTGGCAATGACTGTAGACGGGTTGCTTATGCTGCGGCTAGTGCTTTCCTTAGCACAAGCATCTTCACCTCAGAATGCACGTCATCCCAAATTCCTGAATATAGGTAAGTTGACACCACATACTCTGTTTTTGAAAAAAAACGATTAAACAAGCTAATGCCATTAGCCAATGAATTTTAAGTTCAGCAGATCTTATGCACATTAAACTTGTTTGATAAGGTCAATCCTTCCTTGCTTTATAGTGCCCTTAATTTGGGACCCCAATTAGAAGGAGCTGTTTGGGTTCCATTGGGATTTCTTTCTTTGGTCATATTGTCAGCAACTCCCCCAATTGTCCAAATAAGTCGTTTTTTCTGTTCCTGGGTCAGAAGTTGCCATTGCTGTTAATATTGAAAAGCCTAATTTTAAAAGGGAAGTCTTGGAGACTCCAATGGTGTTATTGACACCTGGCAATTGTGTGACTAGAAATTGCACAATCAGGTTCCTGATGAAGGGTGGACTATTTTTAAAAACCCAATTTCTTACCTTTAATTCACATTTCTTCGAACCTGTCAGGAGCATTTGTTTCTAGGGCTGAGTGCATCCATCCAAGTTTTTGAAAGATATAGTTTGAGGTAGCTGAGTGTAAACTGAAAAGAATATGTCCAGTTACTTGTAGGTAATACAAAACCAATAAAATATATGAAATCTTCTCACAAAAAGATATCTCCAAATCAACAAAACAAAAAGTGATCACACGTTTCAGAGAAACAGTAATCTGTAAATTGAGAAGCTAAAGAAATTGTGGCTCAAAAGCAAACTAGTGATAGACCCTTTGAAAACAGCAGGTGTAGGTGTGATAAGCTCACAAAATAGACTCATCTATTGATCTATTTGGAGTTTTAAAATCCACTAACTTTTTAAATGTCCCTATACTTGCATGCATAATGGTACAAAAAAGAATATGAATAAAAGACTGATGAATACAGTGCAATTGATTGTTAATTACGTCATTTTTCTAAATTCTCTGAGTTTTTGGGTTGGATGCGCCATCATTCTGGAATCAGCCAACCACTGTTAGAACATGATCTTAATGACTTTATTTATTTATCTGTGTATTTTAGATTGGCCAACAGACTGTGGGGTTCCATATTTTCACCCAAATACTGTGGAGAGGATTATATTGGGCAATGAAGTAAGGCCACATTCTTGGCCTTGGCAAGTCTCATTACAGGTAACAATGACCTTTAGACAAATCAATAAACCAGGCTGTCCTTTGTCAGTGCAATATTTGTATTGACATAATGCAGTTATTAAGAGTGTGAGTGCATGTGTGTGCAACCAAGCAAGTTAATGTAATCTGTATCTCTATTGTGCCAAATGCTTCTCCTATTGATGTCAATGGTATAATTGCTGCTGCTTATTATTAAACAGTTGTTTTCAACACCCCATCTTTCATTCCACAATGACATTAGCTGACTCTTTTTTCTTAACAATTCTACCTTTGCATCAATTTACACAGAAAAAAGAATGCTGGGGTAAGTGAACTGCTAATAAAACACATTGTTCAGTAGAGGGCACTGTTGCATCAGCATTAATTCATCCATTACATGCCCAAGAATGAAATATCCCTCTGATGTACATTTTTTTATTGTTCTCTAACTTTATTGCTCTTCCTAGGTTTGGACTAAAACAAATAGCAAATTTATTCATGTTTGTGGAGGGACTCTTATTCACAAAAGCTGGGTTCTTACTGCTGCTCACTGCTTCCAGAAGTAAGTTTTGCATTTGCAGTTTTTGCTTGAATTCTTGGAAGTTATGGAATATATTTTTGTAAACTCATGACCACTAAAAGGAGAAATAAGTGCAGAATTAGATGGGCTCTGCACTTCAACCATTGTGACTCAGAGACACCATGAAGAGACACATCAGAAAGAGTGATAGACACGGACTGTGAATGGGTTCCCTCATGTCTGGTCCCCTTTGTTTTTTCTACCCACGAACTCACAATATGGCCTCAGCCGTGGGGCCGCCTTGGATTCCTGGTGGTATATTACCCCGAGAGGGGTGTGACGGGTGCCTAGTCCACCCTCTCTCCAGGTCCCAGCCCAGGGCCCTAGGGTAGGGGGTGTCCTCTCCCCCATCTGGCTGATGGGGCTACCTGTTTCAATCGTCAGCCCGCAAGCGAGACTCCTTCCGCCCACCCTGGGCCACCTCCTCCCCTCCCTCCCAAGGTCTCTCCTCAGGCCTCCCGCCACCTTTGGCCCGGCGACTCCTCACCTGTCTCTCCACCTAACCAGGTTGGCCCTCCCCCCTTTGTAGGTGGCGTTCCCTGGGTTCCCTCCCGAGGCACATGCGCTAGCATCCCTTGAGCCGGATCCTCGCGTCCTAGCCTTGGCGCTCCACGGCTCGTCCTCCTCGGCGTTCGCACAAGCGTCCGCTATGCCTGCATCAGCCGCAGGAGCACCTTCATCCTCCCATTGCGTTTTGGCTGCCTCCGCTTCTGCTGTCGCCGTAGGAAGAGCCATCCGGCCGCCGCCATCCTTTAGGGTCCTGTTGCAGGCTGTGTGGGGTTCCCAGGCCTTGTCACACTGACCAAAGAAAACGGATGGGGTTTAAACTAGGGAACGTAACCTAAAAATTAGGATGCTAATAGCAAAAGAAAAATCCATCAAAATTCAAAAGATGACAACCCAGAGGTATTACTGTACTTAGGAAAATATGTTGAAAAAGAGCATGTAAATGAGGTCAAAAGAACTTCCAGTTTTGTACTACGATTGAGAGATAGGATATCATCTCAGGAAGAAGCAAAATCGAGCAAAAGTGAGTTTACCCAGTTCTTAAAATGTTTTGCTTTCTGTGATCAATATTTCACACTAGTTTTTGAACAAACAAAATACCACTATTTTTTATATGATACAGAAAGCAGTTATTTTCTATACTTGGTAAACTTTCTTTGTAGTTAGTATTCCTTTTTGTATATCATGTGTGATGATTATCTGTGAACATGTCACATTTTGCAACTCCCCTTTTAAAATAACTAGAATTTTTAGTTTATATTGTATTAAGAAACCATGTGGGTAAACAATGTCAAAGATATTACAACCAATAACAACAGAAAGTAATGCAATTGATCTTGGTCAACTATAAGACATTCCAGGTTACAGTCTAAGAAAACAACACACTTTCTGAAAATAACTGGACAGTCTTCATGCCAGCGTGTAATGTGGTATAAGATTGAAATTCACCCTATTACAAAAACCCTGTCTAAACCCCATCATGCCCTGTATGTTGTACAGTGGCAAAACTTGACAAATTCAGTAGTTAGAAACCTCATGTAAAGCTACATGTCCTATACCCTGCCCATAGGTAGAACAGTGAGGGGATTAATTCTGTTCCCTCCTAATCCTCATTTAGGCTACGTTTACACTACGGGGCTGTGTCTAGACTGCATCCCTTTTTCGTAAAAGGGATGCAAATTAGACATATCGCAATTGCAAATGAAGCGGGGATTTAAATCTCTCTCACTTCATTAGCATAAAAATGGCTGCCGCTTTTTTCCGGCTCGGAACTTTGCCGGAAAAAAGCACCAGTCTAGACGCGGATCTTTTGGAAAAGGCTTTATTTTCCGAAAGATCCGTGTCTAGACTGGCATTTTATTCCGGCAAAGCTCCGAGCCGGAAAAAAGCGGCAGCCATTTTTATGCTAATGAAGTGGGGGAGATTTAAATCTCCGCTTCATTTGCAATTGCGATATGTCTAATTTGCATCCCTTTTACGAAAAAGGGATGCAGTCTAGACACAGCCTATGGGTTTTCTCGGCAAAAAATATGCTAATGAGGGACTCAATTGCATGAGTCGCAATCTTATTTGCATATGTTCTGCCGATCCCTTTTTGCACAAAAACAAGCAGTGTGGATGTTTTCTTTTTGTGCAAAAAACCCTTTTTCCGCAAGACCACCCCAGAGCAAAAACGGACTGGCAGAAAATATGCAAATGAGTCCCTCATTAGCATATTTTTGGCCGAGAAAACTCGTAGTGTAGACATAGCCTCAGGCTTCAGTCAGCAAGATACTCATATATGTGCCTATATTTAAGCACAGGAATAGTCCCAATGAATACTTTCCTGAATCAGAGCCAAAGATCCTAGTAACAAAACGAATTTACTCAGGAGGAATGCATTTTACCCTAAATAAATGTATAAAATTATTTCCTTTCTCCTAGCCAGATAGAAATTGTATTGTCTCTGATGCAAAACCTCACTATACATTCATGTACAACGTGCAAAGTCTACGACAAGCGCACCAAGCCTCTCAACCTCATTATTGTTGTATTTATTGTGTAGATAGCCCCCTAAGCATCTATGACTATTACCAGTTTGTGGAGGCCTGGTGTAATAACGTGAATTGTTTCCTCCTGCAGTGCAAAGTTAAGCTGTCTCTTTGTTGCTATTAAATACTAGCCTAGCTGCTCTTTTGTGGTGTCAGCAGAACCTCTTTAATTTCTTAACTACTTTTGTGGCAGGATCCTACTTTTCAGAATAAATACACCTTCGCTTATTTCAGCAGACTTTCATTTTGCACTTCTAAACAATTCAATTTTAAACTCATAACTTTTGATATAACTGCCATGCAGGTTTGAGGTAAACAGCCTTCTGGTCAACTATGTGAATTTGGGAAGTGGCTCCTATTTCACATAACAATCAGGTGGGGGGAAAGAACATTTAAAAGAACATTAAAAACGTATTGGGTTCAATATAATGAGACCCTGTGCTATTTTAATTTTTTTAGAGGAAAGGCAGAAGATGCAGCAAACTGGCGAATTCTCTTGGGCAAGCATAACCTTAATCATACTGAATCCACAGAGCAAATCTACCATGTGAAGCGAATTTATCAACATGAGCATTTCCGCTACCCTCATCTAAACGAGCTGGATTATGATATCGCCTTGGTCAAGCCTACAGAAGACATCATAACAAACCATTTTATTCATTATGCCTGTCTACCTAGGAGAGACAGCACTCTTCATCCAGGACAGTTCTGCTGGGTGACTGGATGGGGGGATACAAGAGGTACTTCTGAGTGCTTCTTGTAGCATGAGTTCAGAGGTTAGACTTAGCCAGTCTATGGAAGCTGCATGCCTTCAGAGACCAACTTTTGGCCAGTTACTTTTTCTAAATCCCACTGATACAGAGCACACTAGAAGCGTTACCCAGTGTTGCTCAGGTCCTTCAGGGCAGGGGACTAAAGGAGTAGGGGTGCAGGAGTCAGGGCAGGGGATTGGGGATGTGGGAAACTCAGGGCAGGCGGCTAGAGTTGTGAAGAGTGCAGGAATAAGGGTTGTGGAGTGAGAGGGGGCTCAGGGCAGGAGGTTGGGGGCTCAAGGCTTCTCCCCTCGGTTGGCCTGGGGTGGTAAGGGCTGCGCTAGCTGGCCAGTAGTTGCTCCCCAGGGCCAAGGCACTTGCTGTTCTGCTGTTGTCATTCAGGGGTATAACTGGCCCTGCTATCACACCCCTCCCTTTTTTTGATGAGAAACAATCACATGCCACACACATCCCCATTGTCCTGGCACAACTAAAGTTAAGAAAAGAGGAAGTTCAAATTAGATGGTCCTACCTCTAACTGTTTAGGAGGATAAACTTAAAATACAGCAAATGGTCTGGTAGCACTTTATAGACTAACAAAACATGTAAGCTGTGTCTAAATTGTGCATTCTTGCACAAGAAGATATGCAAATGAGGCATGGCGATGACTCTTTCAGATATTTAGTAGATAGGAAGGCATCCTGCCTATATTGCTATGTGCTGAGCATGCAAGAAAGCTAAATAACTTCCATTGCTTCTGAAATGCCAGTACCTAGCATAACAGCACTAACCGAAGTAGCTGACTGACTTAATCTTTTACATGATGTTAATTTTACAACAGTACAACTATAGCACCTAGAAATCCCAGTCAAGGACAAGAACACTATTATACTAGGCACTGTATAAACACAGCCTGGCTCAAAAACCCTGGCTCAAAGACCATACCTGACATTAGGGCCCATGCTAACACATGCCTGAATACTTGCACAGTTAAATCTTTCAACAACCAATTAGTTTTTTGTCTGAGGTTCTTCTCTGTTTTCATGCTAATGTATATATTTATTGCTTTATATTTGGGCAGCAAATTTGTGGTTCCAGTCTGGATTACAGACCAATTATGTTAAGAATTGTAAAAAAATCTATGATATAAGCTCTTTGGGGGCAAGTGTCCATGAAAAGTGCAAGATTCTGTAGTCCTGGAAACTGAAGTCTCCTTATCTGCAAAACAGATAAAACACGGACAAGAGTAGTTCAAGCCACCCTCTACTGCCCTGCCAACATACCAGGACCCTGACCAGGGATGAACAAATAGATGGATCCTTTATCCCAGCTGCAAACTGTGGCAACAATAGATTGTGGGGAAATGCATGTAATAGTTAGAGTATACTTGTGGAATAGACACACATATTACAATTTAAAACAAACAAACAAACAAACAAACAAAAAAATCAGAATGAACAAATTAGAAACCAAAACAGAATGGTGGGAATCTTTTAATCTGGAACAAATTAGACCAAGTTCTTGCAATTTGTACATGAATATTGTTAAATTGTCATACCATTTCACTTGAAATGTTCATATTTAGAATGGAAATGTGTTTCACTTTCCCTTTTCTCATCTATTTTTAAGGTGGGAAAGAAAACCTTGCTTTGTCTAAGGTTTTGAACCAGGCCAAGTTACCAGTCATAGATTTCAGTACATGTCGCCTAAAGAAGTTCTGGGGAGACAGAGTGCGGCAGTCAATGATTTGTGCTGGATTCAGGGATGCTGGAGAGTCTCCTGCTGCCTGTCAGGTACAAAAAAATCAGCCATTAATTCCAACTATGAATGAAAACATCAGGCTGTTCAGCACAGAGGAAGCTAATATGTAGTTTGTGGCTTTCTAAAAATGGCCTGTTGCTGCTCCTCTCTTTAAAGAGAAGTGTTTGTAGACAGTGAACATTATACATCTCTATATGCTGGGGTCCACTTTGGGATATATAGTTTTCAAGGGTCATATTCCAATGTTTAGGATAAAGGCTGCAAATTTCTCTGCTGAGAATAATTAAGATGATTAAACATGATATTTGGTAGGACAATGTTTGGACAGCCCTAATCCAGTTGAAGAGAGACAGTTTTAAAGCAATGACATAGAATAGGGTATCCAGAGGCCTCAAATTACAGGAAACAGTCCTGGTTTTCAGCATTAGTCCTGCATCCTGATCTCAGTAGTAGCTGTAAATAAATAAATAAGGAGTGAGAATCAAGAAGATAGTACAGGTTGAGCCTCCCAGATTTGGGACTCTCTGGAACAACAACAACTGTGATCTGGCAGGGTCACAGATATTGCTGCACCATAGAACCCCAGAGGCTAGGAGAAGGATCAGTCCCTGCAAGTGCTGGGGAGCCCAAGGTGGGCCAGCAGCTGCTGAGCTGAGCTGTGGCTGGGGAGCCCTGGCTGGGGAACTCCCAGTGGCAGCAGAGCCAGCAGTGGCCAGGCGGCATTGGCCAGGGATCCATGGGAAACCCCTGGCAACAATGGAACTGGTGGCCCCATCCTGGGGAACTTTAGTGGCAGCAGGGCCAGTGGTAGCTGGGTGGCCCTGGGCTGGGAAGCCTCGGGAACACCGGGTGGCAGCAGCTGGGCAGTCCCTGCCAGGAACTCCCAGCAGCAGTAGGGCAGGCTGGCCAGCATTAGTGGGGTCAGCAGCAGAGTAGGGAGCATTGACTCAGGAGAGGAGCCAGGCAGTGGCCAGCAGGGGACCATTGACCTGCCTTGGACTAGCAAACTACCTGGTTTGGGACCACTCAGGTCCCAAGGGGGTCAGAACAGGGAGGTCCAACCTATATTTTAAGCTCATTGCAGTGGAACAGTACATGGGAAAATGTTCATAGCTGTATCTAGCCTTAGAGAATTGGTTGCTAAAAATGCCCCAAGCTGCTGCACAGGAATCTATTTTCAGAAGTTTGTGTATTATCATTTTTGACTAGCCTAATTAAAGGTATTTAATTTGTTAACCTCTTTGTATAAATATAATGAGTGAAAGATATGTACCAATTCCAAGTTAATTTCTAGGAATGTATTATTTAAAATATTTTATGATGATTTTTGGTCAAACTTTATGTAGGGGGTTACAATTATTTTTATTTCATTTTTGGATGTGGGAAGTCTTGGGAGTGTTAATTTTTAGTCCTTGTGAAAAGTGACTGATAACCCTGCATACTGAAGTAATTTGTACTTTCCATAGAACAGCTACAGCACAAACAGCTGTCATGCAAACTTCCCTACATAATGCTGTCAACATGACCTTTACCCTTTCTGGATGCATTCTTTTCAGCATTACTAAAGTAACTGGCTCATTGGTTTATTCAGTCCTTGACCTATCACTGCTTAGCAATAGGGCATGTTAGCATCAGCTGAAGTGGTTTTTGTGATTTGCACATTTTTGTATGAATAGGATCAAGACCGCTTATTCACTTAATGTGGGCCACCGAACACCCGTCAGATGTTAGTAATGACCAACCTAGCCTTGATCTACACTTATAATTTAAGAGATGAAACACACTGTATAACACTGGTGGGAAACCTGCGGCCCATCAGGGTTCTGTGCATGGCCCACGAGACATTTTGTTCATCATTGCCTGCGTCATGGCAATGGTTGCTGGATTTCGCTGGTTTTGTCCACATAGGTTTTTTTCTACTGGTATTACTAAAGTGACAAACATGTAAAGCAAAGGCAGTTGAAGTGAGGTGCACACAACATTGACTGTAGGAGCCAGGCATTCCCTCTGCATCCAATCAAAGAGCTGCTCCAGTTCAATCAGCACACCCCGCAAATTCTAGGTACGTAAGCACAGTTGGCAAAAATACCTTATCCTGAGAGACCCACTTGGTTACAGATGGCAAAAATACCTTATCCTGAGAGACCCACTCAGTTACAGAAGTCTTGTGGCCCACTGCGATGAAGGAGGGCCACTCACTTGCCTAGGTTGCCCATTGCTGCTTGTATACTGTTACCAAGTCTTTGAATTGTCCACTTTCTTAATCCAATAAATGATTGGACAGCTTTACAAAACAAGGCGTTTATGAGGCTCATGTAGTTCTGAAACTGCATTTTAGGTAATCCTAACCTGGACTATCGTCATAAAACATGGTGCTTTCCTCGCTTCTTGTAAGTGGCAGGCCTTACTGCAAGGTGCCTGAGCTAAGAACTCTGCTATACTGTCTACATTCTTTTCTGTATCCTAATGACACCCGTTAAAACTAGACCTAGAAGTGTTTTGTTTTATGCATTATGTAGCATGCAAAAAGTCTGATTTGTTTTGTTTGTTAATAGAGCTATTAAAGAGTACAAAGTCACTGGCAACACAGCAATTCCAAGTCCCATCTAATGGTTGTTTCTTTCAGGGAGATTCAGGTGGACCACTGGTTTGCCGGATGAGAAGAGAAAAATGGGAAGTGCATGGCATAGTTAGCTTTGGACCTATTGGATGCAAAGTGGAGAACAAACCCACTGTCTTTACCAGGACTTCTGCTTACATTTCCTGGATTGAAGCAACCAGAATCCGGGACTTCTTTTTGTGAAGACATGAAATACAACTGAAGTGGAAAAAATTAAAAATTTAAAATAATTAATTTTGTGTTTCTTACTTGGGGGGTTAATTTTGCTCGTTGCAGATGGCAAGATAGACGAATGTGCTGCAGTTGCCATGTTTCCCCTTTCCTGAGTACCAGATCTTGAGATTAAATTGTCATTGGTCTACAGGTCGTTCAGTTTAAGGTTAACTGGCAGGGGGCTGCTCTAGGCGGTGTGCTACTCAGCTTTGCTCCAGCCTGGCCAGACCTACCACATCATGCCACAGGCAGGGAACCACTGGTTAATTGATTAAATGGGAGTTTACATCCCTAGCTAACAAGCACGTCCTTACCCACCCCTTGAAGGGAGGCAGACAGCAGGTCTCTGCACACTACCCGCCCCTGCCCCAGCATCATCCTTATAGCTCTCGTTGCTTAGAGGCACCGGCAGCACATCTGGTAACTCCCTCCCCTCAAGAGGCATGCAGAGTAGGGATGTTAAATCCCAGGTAGGTAGTTAATCAGTTAAAAAAGAATTTAACTGGTTAACTGAGGCGGGGCACTACCCAGGGCTACTCTGGCCGGGCCAAAGAGGGCTCATGGCACCGAAAGACTGCTCCAGCCGGGCTGAGTCCAGCACACCTGTGGGCTGCTCTGGCTAGCCCAATACACCATGCCACGGGAGGCAGACCAGGCTAAGCCTGTCACACTGTTCCGTGGGCTGCTTTGGCCAGGCCCGGCCAAGCCCAAGCCCGCTGCACCATGCCATGGGTGGGGGAAGGAGTGCACCAGCTGGGCAGGGGCTGCTCTGGCTAGGTTAGGGCCGAGTCCTCCACCAGTAAACGGGTTACCTAGATAAGAATGTCAGTAAGGGGCATGCTTACTGATTAACCCATTAACCCTTTACATCCACAGTGCAGAGACTCATTCGCCACCAGCAGTCAGATGCTTTGAATTGCCACCACGGCATGCACCTGAGTGCCTGCTACCAACTGCCTGTGATAAGCGTCTCCCGGCCTGGGCCAGGGCCTGCACCTCATGCTTCTTTCCACACACTAACCCCCTGCCCAGGTCAGAATCCCCTCCTGCATCCAAATTCCCTCCCAGGTCCTGCGCTCCCTCCTGGACCCCAATCCCCTCCCTGGAGCTCCCTCCTGCACCCAAAGTCTGTCCAGGCACGTCTACACTAGGACATTATTTCAGAATAACCAAATCTGAAATAATAGCTCCCAAAATAACTAATGACATCGTTTTGAAATAAGCTTATTCCCCAAGGAAAGCAGGAGTTAGTATTACAAAACTAGCCAATTAGCTCATCATAAGACGGGATTTTCAGGTCTCTCCTCCACATCGGTCTTCTCTCCTGAGCCTCCGGTCTCTGTCTCTCTCTCCTCCTCCTGCCTCCCCCTCCTTCTCTCAGCTCTCCTCCACCTTCTGCCTTTCTCTCTCTCTCTCTCTCTCTCTTCTCCCCCTCCCGCCTCTCACTGTGTTTCTCTTTTCCTCCTCCTGCTGCGTCTCTCTCACTCTCTCTCTCGCTGTCCTCCTCCTCCGTTCTCCTCCCTGTCTCCTCCACATGCTCTGTGTCTGCTCCACTTTCCTCCTTTTGAATCCAGCGCCCTTTCCTGACATGAGGGATGCACGCTAGTCCAGGCCCCACTCCCTGGCTGTTCCCCCTGGGGGGCGCTGTTGCCTCCCACTGTGATGCTCAGCTTACTTCTGCGCCAATCAGGGAGGCCGCTGTGCGGGAACAAGCGGCCGTTTGGGCCCCGTGCTCCCGAAGCAGCACCCCTGTGCTGCATAGGGAGTGTGGACCCCAAACGGCCACTTGCTCCCACGTGGTGTCCTGGCTGAGCAGCGCAGAAGTCAGCTGAGCACCATGGTGGGAGGCAACAGCGCCCCCCAGGGGGAACAGCCAGCATTTCAGCATTACAGGGTCATAGGCATTGGGCTACTATATATATGATAACCAGCTCCTTTTCTTGAAATTACATGCTCGGTCGTGTGGGTGAGCTGCGCGTGCCGGGGGCGCGTTCCCAGCCCAGCTCCCGGGCGCTGCATGTGGCCCGGCCTTCACCCCCTTAACGACTCCGTGCGGACACTCTGCCGTTAATCAGCCAACGTGTGTCAGCGCCCTGCGGCTGAACAGCCGCGCGTGGTGCTCTTGTAGCCCTAATACAACATACACGTCGTGCTCGGGAGAGAGCCTGCAGGGCACAGACGCGCGGCTCGGTGTGACGCCTTCCTCGCTACTGACTTGCCTGGTGCCTTTTATGTAGCCTGTAGTAAAACTAGGCAAGTATGCAGTTGAGTTGATGTAGCCCGTTTGAGAGCCCCTGATCTGCATGATAGGAGCCGGTCAGTTTTGTACCCATGTCATGGCAAGGGAAAGTGAGTCCAGTGGTTATAAATATGGCTGTTCTTTTAAAAGGTACTTTTTGACAAACAAACTAAAGGAAACAATTCCCTAGTTGATACACTAAACAAAAAAGTGGGTGCACAATGTGAATGTACTAAACTGTTTACTCTGACCTACACAATTGAAAAATAATCCTTTAAAAATTGAGACTCATCAGCCTTTTATTATGGGATGTACTAAACCTCATTAAATTAAAGAATTTTGAAAATCTGATTGTCTTTGTGTGGAACAGTTTCTTGTGTCCTAACCTACACAATCTTGTGTAAAGATAGTAGTATTCTTTATTATGTGGTCTTGGTAAATATATTTGAGTAAGTCAAAGATGATTTTTTTATCATACTTCTGAAAATTCTACCCTACATCTAATTGCCTAAAGTATAGCTGTGTGTGACATTGCAGCCCTGTAGCATAATGTGGACACATGCTATACTGACCAAAAGAGTTTTCTTTTGTGTAGGTTTCTCAAAAGATAGTGACTGGGTCCATGGATTTCTGTTGACATAGTTGCCTGTAGTGCAGGTTAGGACAGCATAGCTGTGTGGTTTTTTTCAGACCTGTGACAGCTATTTTGACCTTTTAAATGTAGGTCAAGTCTGAGTCATTGCGAGTCTGAGTTTGAAGCATTTTGGAAATTATCTGTAGTGATTATAAATTTGATTTTTTTAAATACAGTGCTGTTAATGGGCATAGTGTTCTACAAAGAGTTTAAATCTAGTCTAGGTAAGACATGCAAGGTGTTTTTTTTTTAAATTGCAGGTATATTACAGATGTGCTTAGTTTTGAAGGGAGGGTCAAAATAAGTAGCTATCTGATGTGGCTTTTGAAGGGGTGGAGAGAGGCTGCAGTGCAAACACGTGGTGGGGGGGTATGTTGCATGATTGAGGGGTAGATGCTTATTGGATAGAGCTCTGCAAATCAGTGGATATGCGTGCCTTATTTGTGCAGGACTCTACTTATGGACGTGTAGTACCAAGAAAAGTATAATTGGCAGAGCAGGGCCTTAGTACTGGGAAAGGATGCATTTTCATTGTAAGGTCATTCACAATGATAATATATTAAATCCCAATAATTTAACTACATTTTGAATGCTTCTCCCAGTAACCAGGTCACCACCACCTATTAAATTAGTGTTTATTTCAGACCTGCTGCTGGCTTCAGCAGCCTTCCCTACCTGCAGAGGGTCTTCTGGAGGAGTCCCCTGCCCTCAATGGGCTGGCCAGACACCAGTCAGATGGTTAAATGATTATACTTATATCCAGTTAATAGATATACCACCCTACTCTGAATGCTTCTCTTTTGTATTAAAACTAGAAAACTTACCCAGTGTTACCTGTGGGTAGGAGAGGTCTGTTCATGCTGGATGAGGAAACTGGCCTGGGCGCTTAGAGTGGCATTCAGTGGGGTGGAGCCCGGGGACTGTCTGGGGTGAGGGGCGGGGAGGCCCTACTGTAGCTTCTTTAATTATGGAGGCTTCTGTTTATAAGATACAATGTATATCAGAGGTCTTTAGGCCTGTGTTGGAGAGGAGTGCTGACACCATGTTTTGACAAATGTATGCTATTTAGATTGAAAAATGCTTATAAGAGGGATTTCATTTTAAATTTTGCTACAGCACTTTTCCATTTGTTAAGAAGCTTTGTGGGGCCCGTGTTCTGGAATAGGTGCTTGAGAAGAACCACAATATATTGCTCTTATAAGGAGAGACAGGCAGCTTGGTCTTTTGATATACACAGGCATTAGCAACCTAAACAGCTTTCAACAGTAGCTCATTTAAATAATTGTAGAAACCAATTATTGATAACCATAGTCAACAAGCATCTGACGAAGTGGGTCTTTGCCCACGAAAGCTTATGCTCCTACACTTCAGTTAGTCTATAAGGTGCCACAGGACTCCTCGTCGCGTAGTCAACAAGAAATAGTAATGCAGAAATAATTTTATTAGTGGGAGTGCTGAAAGCCAGTTCTCTTACACTTTTCCATCCCAGCTGGGGAGGAGGGGAGGGAGGGAAGGGAATGTAGAGCCCTGGGGCTGGCATGGGAGGCAGTAGGGGGTGCTACTGCATCTCCCACACCCTTAGGTCCCACAGTTGTCCCAGGGCTCACTGCCCTGGGCCATTTAAATTGCTGCCAGAGCACCAGATTACATGCTTCAAGCAGCATTGAGGCCTGGGGGAGAGGGAGTACTGCTGGCTGTCCTCAGCTCTGTCCTTTCTGCCCTTGGCTCTACTACTTCGATGAACTCAGCCTTCCCCGCTCCATTGTCCCAAGGCCTACAGAGGCTGTTGGCTCTGCTGTATGTATATTTTGTGTTTCATAAAATTGTTTCAGGAACTGCACCCAGAAAGTACTTCATAACTTTTATAAAACGAGTTGGAATTACAGGGAGGGTCTTTTATGTACCAGTTAAACAGATCTGACATACTCTAGGCTCTACAATTTTATTAGTTTTACCTATTCCAAATTTTTATCATTAGCTGGTGTAAATCACACTCTAAAACAGAATTTGTGAACTATGCATTTTACACTTATTCCCTGAAATGAATAAAGATAATATCAAAACATCTTAAAATTACGCCCATTTCCCCAACAGTGGTTATTTCCCTGGTTTTAAAATAATCATTAAAGTAGGCACATAGTAAAATAATTGGACCGAGTCTTGTGCATACTGTGGCGTGGGCAGTATTAACTAGTGCACAGTATGCTAAAAGCAAAGTTGTCCTAGGAAGGAACTTACTTCATGGTTTGATACTGAGAGTAGTGGGTTGTGAATGGTATAAGACTGATAGCTAACTCTTGGGGAATATGGTCCCTGCTCTCAAGCCAATTATTTTTGTCCTTTCCTAGTGGACAAGTAAAATTTTGACATGGACAGATTTTCTTTATTACATGAAAAACTAAAGTACAGATCTTTTTGAGGAAAATTGTTTCATATTTGTTAGCAAAACCACTACAGTGATTGCATGCTGGGCCCTGAGCAACTGTTAGTGTGCAGGTTTGTCAAAGAAAATGCCAACTCTTAATTTCTAAAAGTTTGGCACGTCTCTAAACAATCCACTTGCTGTTTTTAAAGTCCCCTAATGTAGTTTTTCCCCTTTGCATTGTCCTGTTGGACAGAGGTTAGAAGTCCATAAAAGTTTAAGGCGTGTCTCCAAAGCCGAGAGCAGTGTTCAGCAGCAGAACTGTGCTGTTCTTTCTGCGTAGCAACCATGCATGTAGAGTCTTGCAGAATCCACTTCCACAGAAGCTTATTTTAATAAAAATTTATTAAATCTTAAAAATCCCAAATCTGTGGTCTCTGCTGTTCTCTCAGCTTTGTGCTGCAGCCACCCTCGGCTTTACGTGTGTCAGCATTCCGGTCTAGTGTTTCAATGAGAGCTGCTCTTTGCATACTCGGTGGTTGTTGTTTCAGGCGTTTCTTTGGTGCACCCATCAGCCCCTCCTCTCTGTGCAGACGTGCAAAACTGAGTATCAGCTGTGGCTGCCCTGGCCACGTGGGGCTCGAGGGGTGGGTTTTGGAATCTGCTCAGTGCTCACAACTGATAAATTTGCAGGAGTGACAGAAGTCCGCGAGAACTTGGGCTCGACAAACAGAAGACAGTAAACAGGTAGGACTGAAAGGCTTGGCTTTCAGACTGCAGGGATGTAACATGAAGTCAGTGACATGGGAGTATGGTTTAAATATTTGCATATAACATTTACTATGAGGACTTGTGATTGCATGGATTTATTTAAGCATGTTGTGTTTCTTATGTTGAGAATAGAATGAGAACGAGACTTGGTTAAACAGCTCCAGAAAAGTCTCCGGTTTCTAGACCCTTTTTTAGCAGAATTATTTAATTTCATTGTTGTGTGAAAAATTCATGTGTTCCTGCCTCTCACCTAAAAACTGTTCTGTGCATTCCAAGCAGATGGGTATTTGGAACAGGATTGCAATTTTGTTTAAAAGAGGTTTTAGGTGAATTCTAGAAAGCTTATGAATCAGAGGATGCTGAAAGAGAAAACATTAACAGTTAGTTCAGCAGCAACTTTAGTTATTAACAATTGCAGGATCAAAGTGCAGTTTTAGCTAATGTGGTGTTTTCATCCTACAAGTTATTATAAGTCATACAGACTCTTCTCTGTACATTTTTATGACTGTATATAGTCTTTCATGCAGTTATTGAAAGACATAAAAATGCTAATTGCAATCTAGAAAATTTTAAAATACAAAATTTGTAAAAGAGCTGAACTGTGCTACTCTTTGTGATTTTTGAAGTGCATAACGTCTTAATGGCTTTGTATCCATGACACAATTGAAACAGTGGCAGATACAGTCAGTATAATGTAGGAAAGTGGCCTTAGTTTGCTGTAGCTTAAGCTAGGTAATTGTGGGCCAAGAACATTTATGAAGATTGCCATTTAATCTTTAACAGCAACTCCTCTTTTGAATGAGAGCATGGGGGAAGGGCATGATAATTTGTGTTAATTTATTTGTATTACCTTTACACCTTTAGTAACTTGAGATAATCAGGAAAGTTAAACCAATGTGAATATGCTCTCCAATTAAGGATGTTAAATTGCAGTTATCTGGCTAATCGTGCAATCGATACAATTTGTATTGACTACATGATTAGTCAATAAGGGGTTGCAGCAGGGGTTGCTCTTGGAGCCTAGACTGAGCAGTCCTGTCTCATGCTGGCTCCTGGAGCCACCTGAGCTGCAGCTCTGCATTTTAAATGTATCAGAGGGGTAGCCATGTTAGTTTGAATCTGCAAAAGCGACGAGGAATCCTGTGGCACCTTATAGACTAACTGAAGTGTAGGAGCATAAGCTTTCGTGGGCAAAGACCCACTTAGTCAGATACATGCATGAAAATGAGGTGCAGTGATATTCATCGCCATGCCTCATTTGCATATGCTCTAGCGCAAGACTGGGCAGCGTAGCTGTAGCCATAGCATTGTTCTGATAGGGGCAGCTTTGTAGAGTAGAGGTGAATTGGGAGACGTGGAGGTAAAATACATGAGGCCTGCCTATGCTATAGCTTTCAGCTCCACAACTGGTAATGCTGGTGGAAGGGTTTTGAAATATGACGATGAAATGGCTGTCTCAGTCACTTCTGGGTGGTTGCATTTTGTTAGTACTCTGTATATGTAGTTTAACTTTAAAATATTTTGAAAGATGGTATCTAAGGTGGTTGCAAAATGTTTTGGACACAAAGTACTAAACCAGTCAGTGATATTTAAAGCTAGATGGTGTTAGTCCAGTTACAGCTGAAGTACTGAAAGGGTTGTTTTTTCCTAAAAGGTAGCAAAATTGACAGTGAATGTCAGCCATGCAGTTGACAAGTGTATTGTCAATTTTATTCTTCTAAAATGTGTAAGATGCAAAATATAACCTGTATTGGTTTTGTGTTTAGTAGACGTGCAAAACCAGTGCAACTTTCTCCAAACCTTTTTAAGCTCACTATTATTTATTACTGTTTACAATTGAAAGGTAAATCCTTTTTGTTTATATTGATATGTATATGTTTGATTCTGTTCTTTCCACTCCAGCTCATCTGATGAAATTATAATTCTATATATATTTTTGTTAGTCTCTAAGGTGCCATAGGACTACTAGTTTTTATTATGTATACAAACATAACATTTGCAGAATTTTTAAAAAATCACACTCTCTTCTGGAAAAAATTGGTAGGCAAGATTACTGTAAGTTAGTGGGTGCATTTAATAGCACTTTAAAATATAACTAAGGGGCAGTGCCCCCTACTCTCGTGGGGGGTAGGCAACACTGGCTGTCCCCACCATTACTGGCCAGGGCTGGGCTGCAATGTTGCCAGCCCGGGCCCCTTCTCCCATCCTGCTTGGGCCCTTTCTTCCCCCTCCCACCATGGATTAATCCTAAGGCCCTTCTCCCCCCTCCCCCCGGGCTAACTCCACACCAGGTCTGGCCCTTTTACTCCCTGACCTTCAGGGGGGTTTCTTAGGCCAAAGCCACGGCCAGGCCAGGATGTTCGGGGGGTTGGGCTGGGTTGAAACCCTGGCGTGGCCAGGCCCAGCCCTCTCCCCCCCTCTTCCCTGGCTGCTGTAGGGGCTGGGCCAGGCCAAGTCTGGCTTGGCTCTCTCTCCCCCTGATTGCAGGGGAGGCAGCCCCTGCTCTTTCCCCCCCAGCCAGGGGGCAAGGGGTGTGGCACTGTGAGTGTTCTTCTGTTATAGGGCAGGACACACCACTCGCAACAGCTGCAGCAAGAGCAGTGTGCTCCAGCTCCAGCCCTTAGAGGTCCGTAGCCAGCCAACCTGGAGCAGTATAGTGCAATTGGTCTGGCCGGACTAGAGCACACGTGCCCCTTCTACCCTATGGCGTGGCACAGTTGACCTGGCTGGACTGGAGCACACTGATCTTTTTCAGCAGTACTGCTGCTTAGCCAGCCATTCCCCATTTTATATCTGCATTTGATATTTCCTTTCTTAGGTATAGTACTTTGCATTTATTGAATTTTGTCTTGTTCATTTCAGAAATGGACTTATTCTCCCAATTTGTCAAGGTGGTTTCAAATTCTGGTTTTCCAAAGTGCCTGTGAATCCTCTCACTTTGGTGTTATCTGTAAATGTTAAAAACATACGCTCCACTCCATTATCCAAATTGTTAAAGTGTTGAATAGTGTCAGACCAAAGATAGACCAAATAGATGAGCCCTTCCAGTTTTACAATGAACCATTCCTTGAGAATGGCCTTTCATCAGTTAGTTATGCAGTCATAGTAATTTCTTCAAGACCACTTTTCTCTAGCTAGCTTACGAGAATGTCATGTGTGATTGTGTAAAAAGCGTTACTGCAGTCAAGCTTTGTCATATCTACAGCTTCTTCCCTATTAGGCCAGTAACACCATCAAGGAAATTAGATTTGGTTTGACATGATTTATTCTTGAGAAAACCATGCTGGTTATTTGTTATTACGTTATTATTTTCTAGGTGTAACTGAGCCCACCTGCCCAAGACTGAAGCCTTAGAACATCAATTCAACACTGGGCAGTGGGGCTTGGGCTTTGGCCCTGGCAAGTCTAGAACAGCTCTGTGACACCATTAAAATGATGTCATGACCCACTTTGGGATTCCAGTTCGCAGTTTGAGAACTGCTGGTGAATTTGGACATGCTGAACAAGTTACTGGACACTAATTTCTTCTACCAGCATTTTATTTTGAGTCTTTTGAGCTTTAAGAAAGTAGCAAATTATTATTACCGAGAGAGCAGAAATAGCTGACTCTTCAGAATATGTCTTCCTCATTCTTATCCTTTCACCAACTTCTTGAAATGTAAGTTTCACTTTTAAAACAGAATTTCCTTGTGGTTTAGGAACACTGTCGAGAATGAGCCCACCACAAGATAAGAGTGGAAACACCTACAGTAAGGAGCCCCTTGTGAAGTGCCTTCAAGCTAAGAAAGACTTGGAGACAGCTATTGCTGGAATTGTCAAGGCTGAACAACAAATTAAAGTCAACTGGAGAGAGGTATTTAAAATGTACTTTTAAAAAACCCAATATTTTGCCAGTTTTTACCACAATTTTGATTGGTAGTTTTGCAAGATACTTTTTGAGACAATAAGGTTAAGTCTGTCACAATATTAAGGCTACAGTATAGTCATGGGCATTTTTAGTAAAAGTCATGGATGGATCACAGGCAATAAACAAAAATTTGTGGTCTATGATCTGCACGTCTTCTACTTCAAATACCCTTGATTAAATTGGGGGTGAAGGGAAGAGTGATGTACCCAAAGGGGCTGTTGCTTGTGGGAGGGAGGACCCAGCTGCTTGGGTGGGTCAAGGGTCAGCCACACTGACTACTGCAGAAGTCATGGAAAGTCACAGAAGGAACAGAGCTGTAACCATCATCTCGCTGTTATTTAACTATAGCTCTTATAAAACGTAAGTATTTGAGCATTGCTAATTTCACTAGGCAAAATAAAAAGTGCAGTTTCTCAACATCCAATCTCACGAGCCTGTTTTCTGTTGGTGTCTTGGTTTTATTAATAGCTTTTTATTTGTAATGGTTTTTTAAAGTATTTGTACTAATGTGTAAATTGTCCTATGATATGTGAAGGTTGGTGGCTTTGGTGTGTTCTGTGAACAAAGACATTTCAAGTTTATAGTTTAAGGTGATTGTGATTACAGGTTGAACCTCTCTCAACTGGGACTTTCTGGTCTGGCTATTACTGGACCAGAGAGACCCAGTGGAGGGCCAGAGGCAGGAGCCCTGCTGGGACTGGGAATCCAGCTAGGCTGCCTGCAAGGGAATCTGACTGAGCTGGTGGGTAGGGCAGTCAGAATACCAGTGGGCTTCAGTGGGACAGCAGTCAGCTGTGATGGGACCAGGAGCTCTGGTGGCGGGGCTGCTGCAGCAGCGCTGGCAGGGCCAGGAGCTCCAGCGGTGGGACTGCAGGGCTGCTGCAGCAGGGCTGGCGGAGCCAGATGCCCTGGCAGTGGCGCTGGTGTTGCCCAGGTAGGGGTGGCAAGGTGGGGAACCCCGGTGGCTGAGCAGAAGTCTGCCGTGGGAAGAGGGAGAAGTGCGGGAGTCCTGGCGACAGGACTGCGGGCTGGTGGGGCCATGCACTGGTGGTGAGGCAGTGGTTTGCTGCAGTGAAGCTGAAAGCCCCAGTGGCAGGGCGGTGAGCTGCTTGCCCCTGGGAAGCATGCTGGGAGGACAGACTAGGAGCAGAGCTGGGCTGGGGGGGACGGGAGGGGAGAAATGATCTCCCTTGGTTTTGCAAAATCCCTCATTCGAGACCCCTCAGGTCCCCAGGGTGCTGGACCAGGGAGGTGCAACCGGTAGTACAAACATAATAGTATTTAATCCTAGTGGCAAATAATTATAGGGTGGGTTTCCTCCTTTTTCCTTCTCTCCCCACCCCCAAACATTGGGCATGCTCTGGTTTTAACTACTCAGCAGACATTCCAGAAATATTCAGCGGAGCTGGTATTTATCTTGCAGGTCAAAGCTCAGATTCACAGCTGCATCAGTCGTCATATGGAATGTCTGCGCAGTCGTGAAGTTTGGCTGCTTGAACAGGTAGATCTGATTCAGCAGCTCAAAGAGGAAACCTTACAACAGCAAACACATCAACTTTACTGGGTAAGATTTGTGTGTGACTTAGTTTAGCTTTACTGGCCCTTTCAAATAAATTGGTCTTTCTGATATGTACTTATGGTAAAGTACAAATCTTGAGTAGGTATATTACGTGTCATGTATTACGAATTTAAATTTGATCATGCGGTGCCTTTATTGCAACTAAGGCAATAATATTGTTTGTTATTTTTCATATAGTTGCTGGGACAGTTCAATTGTCTTATTCACCAACTGGAACACCCCCATAGTAATGATCTAGTCAATCAGATTTCAGTGTGCCTGGAGAGGTAAATACTACATTACATGATATAAATAAGATTGCTATTCATTTTAGCTTTACATTGGGTTTAAACTGTTTTCTGGTCATAACCTCTGTAGTTCATCTCTTCTACATAATTATCTTTTTGTGAATGTATGCGTAATGCTTTATATAATGAGCTTTTTTTAGCAATCACTAACAAAAAAATTGTGAAATTTTCAAAACAGTTTAGTATAGAAGATCTGTATAGTTAAATACCCAGGTTTGCTTGGAAAAATCTCAGTGTAAGAATTTTAAATAGATTCTTTAAAGAAAAGTCAGAATACCATAAATGATAATGCAAGCACACCTGTTTGTGCAAGTTAAGCTTTGATGTCATTTGATTTATGAGTCAGGGTAAGTTGGGAAATGAGTTTGTTTTGATGGATATTACATTTTCCCCCTCCCCTGTTTTTACTGTTTATGGCCTTGGATGGACATATATATTTTGGTTATTAAAAAAAAAAACTAAAGCAAATTAGTTCAGCTTTGTGGCTGTTTGCAGGAAAGCCAATTAAAACTTTTATACAGATATTGGCTCACTTTGTATAAGTTTAAAGCTTGTGAAAGATTTAACTGAACTTATGGGCGAATTTCAATTTTTATTTAAGACCTCCTTAATTCTTTTAGATTTGGCAGTCTAACTCTCAAACCAGAAGAGTCTTCAAACTTGAACTTTGAGGCTGATGCATCTTTTCTTCGCCAGGCTATCATGTCCTTTGGCTCAATTAAAACCCTTGTGAGTACCAGCGCTTTTGTAATAAAATCGCTGTAGGAAATCCTTGATTCAGATATTTTTAAGGGGAGAGGGTGTCTTCAGAGCCTTTGTCATTTATTCAAGTGGCTTCATTTTAAAGCTCTAGTTGAAACATATTTGTGTGTTCATATTACAGTTTTAGACACATAGCAACTTTTTTTCCACTTCAAAAAGTCTGTAACTCAAATATATTAATTATGATCACATGGGCAAGATGCAATTATTAATACACAGTAATAACAAAACCCAAGCTATTGATGACTGCAAAAAATTAGTTTTAAAAAATCTCAGCTACATCTGCAACCAGTCTAGATATGTAAAGTTTGGAGAAGCAGCCTCCCTAAAATATATGTTTAATTCACATACAAACAATTTTGGCAGAGATTGATTGAGAGGTTTGGGTGACTGGTAGGGGTGAAGGGTGAGCAGGTATGTGCGCTTTCTCTTTGCTTACAACTTACAAAAGGAAGTCCCCACATTAAATTCCAACAATGTCACTTAAAAAGATACATGCACATTAATGCACAAGTAATTTTGTTAAATTGCTCTAGATTAAAATTTGCCATGACATCTTTATTTTGAAGGGTTTTCCCTCACTCCCTTAAATACAGTTCAGTAACCTTGGAGTTAGTGGTATAAAAAAGTTCACTAGTTGTAACTGCCTTTAATGCTGTTTCATTGTTAAGTCTTAATTTTTAAATGTTTGGTTTTAAAGTTGAGTTTAAAAAATGCGGGCAGTGATTATTCATCTTTTTTTTTATTTTTTATTTTTTTTAAAGCAAACTCCTGAGAGAGTGTGTGCTCCTTCTCCTTGGATGTCGGTGCAGAACTGCCCACTGGCCCAGCATGAGCAAGTAAAATAAATATTTGTCTTCTGCAAGAATGACATAACTAAAGATAGTATAGGCATAATATTGCTATTTGTCAACTTTCCTAACTGGTAATTTGTATGATGGCAGTTCAGGTATTGCAGTTTGAGTATTTAGTAACAACCTAGCATGTTTTATGTCACAATGAAATGCCTATTGGATGAATGTTCTAGTTTTCTTTTGAAATCTTCCCTTACATCAGTTCCTCAAATATGAACTTGAGTTAATTTATCCCTTGGGGTGGAATGGGGCAGCTCCAGCTTGGCTCTAGTTGAAATGCTAGAGGATAAATGCCAGACAGGGATTTGAACCATTCTAGTTGTATTGCAATAGGTCAGCTAGGAGGCACCGTGGTGGGACCAGCACAGGACAGCAACCAAGACCAAGATATTTTTTCATGTAGATGAAGCGATTGTACGATCTAAAGCGCTATAATGATCATAGGTTCCAGTCTAATGTGTGTCATGCAGACTAACTGTACACACAACTGTTCTCAATCCAGTTTCTAGATAATTAGAAACAATTGGAAATGTAAACTACATTAGCAGTAAGTTGGTTTTCTGCTAGATGACTGAGACACTTTTTAGATGATGGTATGAGAAGGGACTTCTGTGGTTCTTTTGGTTACTAACTGTTCGTATATATTAGGAATGATAAAATGTGTTTACTCAGGTATACTTGTAACTGCTGAAAATTTCACCTGTTACATGCAGGGCGACAGATGGCTCCCTGGGAGCCAGTGCTTGCAGGAGCTGGCTTTTCAGTAGGCTCTTCATGTGCACTGGCTCCCACCAACCCCCTCTGCATTGCTGCCTATGATACAGAGGCAGCAGTTTGAGGGGAGGTGGCTCTGTGGGACCTGGTGTGCGCCGGGAGCCTGCATGTAACCGGAAGGTTAACCGATGAGCCCAGGCTCATCTGTTAACTGTGTACACGGTTACACTTTCACATATTGGACATGTGCCATATGCTAAGATTCTCAGTCTATTGCCTCTGCAATGAAATAGTTATTTTTATAACGTGTGTGGGTTTTTTTTTGTTTTTTTTTAAAGCAGAAACTGTTGTCTGGAATATTGGGTTCCTCACTCAGTGACTGGCTACTTGGAAGCAAATCTTCTAGCATTTGCCGTGCTCCATATGTTCCCAGTGCCAACCCTGATGACTGGCTTATGAAAAAACATGTACCAGAAATGAGCCAGGTATGCTCTTCCTACACTAAATAAGATGTATTAAAGAGGAATGTTGTATCATGCTGCAGTTGTAATTGGAAAGGTGGGGAGCACATCCGTTTTACATTTCTGGGCTTACCTCTTTCTTGATTCTCAAAATATTGTGATCTGTTGCTGTAGAAATAATAAATGTTTGTTTTGTTTTTGTTTTAAGGATTTAAACTCTTCCAAAGTCTGTTACTTTGAGGAAGCCTGGGGAAGTCTGAAAGATTTGGAAAACTGGCTCCTGCAGAATCAGCAAAGAGAAGAAGCTTCTGAAAAAATAGATCCTCATAAGCACAAGAGCTCCAATTCCATTCCCTGCTCCTCCTTTTCCACTGAAAAGACGGATGAACTGGAGTTGCTTGAGCAAGAAGAGATGGACTTTTCTGACTGGCTACTTGCTCCTTCTGACACAGAAAATGGAAGTAGTGCCTCAGAAGAGAAATGGGAGTGCATGTTTAAACCTTTTAGGGAGGAATATAACATAAATGATTGGCTTCCCAGAGCTGACTCCTGCACTAACTGTCATGGCAACCAGGCCCAGGGTGTAGAGATAGAGAACCTTGGAAATCTTAAGTGCCTGAATGAGCATCAGGATGTGAAGAAATCACCCATAGTATCCACTAATAATGTCTGGCTTCTGCAGCACCCACAGACTCCATTTAAAGTGCAAGACGTGTGCAAAGCAAATGAGCCGTGCACTAGCTTTTCAGATTGTGTGTGTGATGAAAGCTGTGAAAAGGAAGCTCTGTGTAGATGGCTCCTGAAGAAAGAGGGGAAGGATAAAAACGGCATTCCAGTAAGCCAGACGCCTGTAGTGAACCCTGAGCCAGAGAAGACTAAATCTGCTGTCAACATCTGGCTTCATCCCTCCAGTCAGTTTACAGAGGCGTCTGCTACTACCACAGTGAAATTGGATAGTTCAGTGAAGGTTATAGAACCTCTGAAGGCATTGCTTGAGAGTCCATTGACAACTTGGCTAGTCAAATCAGAGCACAAAGCAGCAAGCACAGAAGAAAAGGCAAAAAGAGAGAAGTCAGAAGTTAGCTTTAAAAGTCCCTTTGTAGAGCTCCTGGCCCCGTTCCACCTTCCTCTGAATGTCAATAGTTGGGTGTTTTCCTCAGAGAATATAGAAAACATCAGCCAGCCTCCAGTGGAAGATAAATGGCTGCTACGCAAGAAGGCACAAGTGAGCATGGCCTTTGATCTTTGTTCCTAAATAATGTATTAAGCCAGTATAATTACTAGTGTTACTTCTTGCTACGTTTACACCAAACTCAGGTTTTTAAAAAAAAGTCTTTTCTCCTTGGTGCTCAACCACTATTTTAATGTGCTTAAATAAAATTGAACTCACTATTGAAATCCAGCTAACTTTGGAAAGCAAGTATAGCCAAAATTCATCTCCAGAAATATTAGATGTAATTTTCTCTAATGACATATGGGAAAACTAACTTAGATGCATTTTGGACATAATTACTAAGGACTCTGCCTTTTTTCAGGACTATGGGCTTCCTACAGTTTGTGATCTTTTTGCCTGTATGAAACTGAATGGTGATAGAGAAAAGTGGCTGTACCAGACTCCTTTACAGGTAGGATTAATCCATTGCAAAAATGCATTTCTATAAACACAGTTGTGCTTTCTATAATCCTTAATGATACCTACATTTAAATATTAAAAGCAGCCTACAATTTCCTTTCTGTATCTAATAGCTCAGCCTTCTCCACTGCCACCTGCTCCTTCACTGTTCTCTCTCTCATCCTCTTCCACCAGAGGATGTTGAGGGAATCATTCCCATGTTAGTAAATTGATATTAAATATTTAATCTTTATATGGTTTGTGGTAAACTTGGGATTTTCTTAATTTTTATGCATTTGATTGTGCGTGTGCTATACTTTGACAGAATCCTATATTTGATATTTGGCAGAAGAACATACAGTAATTCCTGATTTAACATGTGCCCGCGTAACACGTTTTCATGATAGAACAACATACAGTAATTCCTGATTTAACATGTGCCTGCGTAACACGTTTTCATGATAAAAAAAAAAAGTTCTAGGGAATGTTTTTTGAATTACACAACCGTCCCCGGAATAACATGATTTCCCCAGCCAGGCCCATTGCAAAGCGGCGGAGGATTCGCCGCTCCTTTCGCCACTGACTCCCCCTCGACGGACGCCTTGCCCCCTCTCCTCAGCCCCCGCCTGCAGGCCAGCAGCTGAGTTTCCCCAACTGGCCCATTACCTGCGGCTGCACGGGGCTTCCTCCGCCTCCCTGCAAAGTGGTGGAGGGTTTGCCACTTGCTGGCGGCGGCCGGCCAGCCAGCGGGGGAACCCCAGCCGCAGGCTGCAAGCCCCCTCCCCTGTCCTTCCCTTCCCTTCCCTCCTCCAGAGCCAAACACCTCCCCTCCCTGCTATACCCCAGGCCTTTTTCCCCCCAACCTTATGTCCTGGTCCCAACAGACACCACCGCTTGAAACACAACCTCCACCTTTTCCATTATTTTCAGTGGGAAAATTGACCCCGCATAATACGTTTTCACTTAACACGATCATTTTCTGAAACATATCTTTAGTGTTAAATGAGGAATTACTGTACTCAGTTTTTAGCTTCCTGGAAAGTACCATTGCTGGCAAGGGAACAGCAAACCCATAAATACCAAGAAAAGTAGCTCCAGAAATAGTATCTTTACATAAAGCATTTTCTGTATCACTTTTGTATACTCTTCTTTTGGAGTATTACTTTCTTTTGCCAAAGAACAAAATAAAATAACTGCATTCTGAATTGTTTTGTTCTAGAAGTAAAGAAACTGAAGAAATAAAACAAG